CCTCACTGGTTTTGATCAAACATTAGGTTGATTCAAGAATTGCTGGTTGTTAACCTTCAAAAAACGTGACCATGCGAAATGCCACATGTATGCGTGATAAGTTGATAAGATTAACTCCTAAGCCTCTTAGTGACAAACAACTAATTGGGCCCAAGTATCTATCAAAGTCATTCACATTAGCGATGAAATCCTGGATTTCCACACCCTGCCAGCTTGGGGGCTAAAGAGAGTACTGGGTAGAGGGCTTCTGGTCTGCCCAGTCGGTCTGTCCTGAGTAGAGGGCTTCTGGTCTGCCCAGTCTGTCTGTCCTGGGTAGAGGGCTTCTGGTCTGCCCAGTCTGTCTGTCCTGAGTAGAGGGCTTCTGGTCTGCCCAATCTGTCTGTCCTGAGTAGAGGGCTTCTGGTCTGCCCAGTCTGCCTGTCCTGGGTAGAGGGCTTCTGATCTGCCCAGTCTGCCTGTCCTGGGTAGAGGGCTTCTGGTCTTCTCAGTCTGCCTGTCCTGAGTAGAGGGCTTCTGGTCTGCCCAGTCTGCCTGTCCTGAGTAGAGGGCTTCTGGTCTTCCCAGTCTGCCTGTCCTGAGTAGAGGGCTTCTGGTCTGCCCAGTCTGCCTGTCCTGGGTAGAGGGCTTCTGATCTGCCCAGTCTGCCTGTCCTGGGTAGAGGGCTTCTGGTCTTCTCAGTCTGCCTGTCCTGGGTAGAGGGCTTCTGGTCTGCCCAGTCTGCCTGTCCTGAGTAGAGGGCTTCTGGTCTGCCTGGAGAGTAAAGGTGTAATCTACAATCTCTTCCGATGCTCCCAAAACTCAAACATGTTTATTCACACAAATGTAAACATGTTTTCTTTGACTATCATTAATTATTCAGGACTTTCATTATTAATGAAAAGACACACAGATGTACACTGTAAAGCAGACTCAATTAATACTGTACAACAATATAATGCCTTGCAATTGTACATTGTACAAGTAAACATATGTCGGGACGACCTTTACACAACCTTTACACAACCTTTACACAACCTTTACACAACCTTTACACATTTCTTCACGTTAATCAAAATAACTCCTGTTCTGTTCGTGAAATAGCTTCAGCGGTGGTGGGAGTATAGCGTGAGAACAATTCCCTTGAATCTGTCAAATTCGTTCAGTTAGCACGTTACGACAGCCTTCGGTTATCGCGTTCCCCTCCTCTCTGTTACCGTGGATGAACCCTTTTTGGTTTCCAGGTAGAACCCTTTTGGGTTCCATGTAAAACCCTTTCTACAGAAGGTTCTACCTGGAACCCAAAAGGGTTCTACCTGGAACCAAAAAGGGTTCTTCTATGGGGACAGCACAGTGCAACACTACAACATCACTAATCACAGATCAGACTGTTCATGAACTGACAGTCTTTCAGGGTATTGTTTGTTAATGGAGAATCAAGCAATGGGGTTAGTAGCTCCAGTCGAGTCCCATATGTTGTCCCAGGTGATGGGTTGATGCCAGTATAAATGCAGCATGAACTAAGACTCTGAGTTCAATGGAAGTAGTAGATCAATATATGTAATGGAAAGCTTTGCACAAGACAGGTTATAATATTGAAACAATATGTGCTAAGATGATCGGGCAAGTCACTTGTAACTATGAGCTCAATTCAACTGAACCGGCATCTCTATGAGCTCAGTTCAACTGAACCGGCATCTCTATGAGCTCAGTTCAACTGAACCGGCATCTCTATGAGCTCAGTTCAACTGAACCGGCATCTCTATGAGCTCAATTCAACTGAACCGGCATCTCTATGAGCTCAGTTCAACTGAACCGGCATCTCTATGAGCTCAGTTCAACTGAACCGGCATCTCTATGAGCTCAATTCAACTGAACCAGCATCTCTGTGCTTGCACAGTATATCTATTTTTCCCATCTTCAAATACAATAAAATGACATACTAATGGTTTTAGGTACTGTAAAAAAAATCTCTCAGATTGATGTTTCCAGTTTTCAGAATAGGAAGCGTTTGTGTGTGTGGGCAGACACTGCTGTAATCGTAGGGATGTTTAGGTTTGATTGAATTCCAGCCAGTTGAATTGATTGAGCACTGTTCCAGGTGCAGTTAAAACCAGCCTCAAGCTATCACATTCTCTAATGTAGATTACCTCATGCTAAATTCTCTTCACCTCTTTTAACCAGAGTCAGTAGACCAACAAATGCTTAATGCCCCAGTGACTCTTTTTAAGTGTGTCATTTTTTTTTAACACCTTCCTGTGCTTGCTCCATCGGGGGCTCAGACAGATTTAGCTCCAATTTGTGGAAGGTGCCAGCCAGGCCTGAGCCCTTTGAAGACCAAAACAGTCTCTTTTTTTCTTTTTTCTTTTTTAAATCAACACACACTAATCACCCATATGTTTGTCAAAAGCCAGTTTAAAAGTGCCCATTCATGTAGTACTGGAAGGTTACTAGTAGGCTGCACCTCAATCACTGTTGTAGCTCAGTTGGTAGAGCATGGCGTTTGCAACGCCAGTGTTGTGGGTTCGATTCCCACGGGGGAGCAGTATGAAAAATGTATGCACTCGCTAACTGTAAGTCGCTCTGGATAAGAGCGTCTGCTAAATGACTAAAATGTAAATGTTGTTGGCTAGTGTGACTATTCCCATGTTGAGCTAAAGGTAGTCTTGTCTAAGCAATGTTTCAACCTCATATTAATTATGTCCAGCACCATACCAGTGTGTGTATATATATATATATATATATATATATAGGAAAATTATGCATTTACAAGTTGTTCTAGTTGATAAGATAAGAAGAAAGGCTGTAGGATTCAAAGTTTATTTTGAAGTGATTTTCCTGCATCACTGCATCACCGTCATCTCTATGGGTGGTCCTCTGTAGCTCAGCTGGTAGAGCACGGCGCTTGTAACGCCAGGGTAGTGGGTTCGATCCCCGGGGCCACCCATACACAAAAAATGTATGCACGCATGACTGTAAGTCGCTGTTGGATAAAAGCGTCTGCTAAATGGCATATTATTATTATTATCTCACACGGTTTGAAAATCACTGTTTTTATGTTTGTACTTTTGATGACATCATCCTTTTTAATGTTGCATTTCATTTTCACAAATATAGACACTGGTATGGTGCTGGACATAATTAATATAAGGTTGAAAATGGAAGTATTACAATTGGTGACTTACAATTTGTTCATTGTTTGTTCATTTCACAACATAAAAGTACTAAAATGCCATAATATTATTGGCTAGATAATCCGTGGGTTAATAAAGTATTCACCGTATTTACAGTGAATACATGGTACATATATTTTAGTTAAACAGTGTTGTTGATGATTTTTTGCTTTTCTGTATTCACAAACAGACCAACACATCAGTCTCAAATAACCTCTGAATGAAAGTTATTTATTCAGATGGAAAAAGCCCAACTGGATTAAAGGTCTATTGAAGAAATGTTAATATTCTGTACATGCTTCACTGTAAGGAATGTTTTTCTTATCATTATAAAATTCAATTTCCACACTCAAAATAATGCTGGGTTGTTTGGTTGACCCGACTGCTGGGTTGAAGGAGTTGGGTTGTTTTCGTGGTCCTCTGTAGCTCAGCTGGTAGAGCACGGCGCTTGTAACGCCAAGGTAGTGGGTTCGAACCCCGGGACCACCCATACGCAAAAATGTATGCACGCATGACTGTACGTCGCTTTGGATAAAAGCGTCTGCTAAATGGCATATTATTTTATTTATTATTAAAAAGAGCAAGGATGGGTTGCTGATGCTTGGTTATTGAGATATGACCCAGCGGGTCAGATCAGAAGACTGTAGGCGTAGTTTAGTAGGGGCGTGGCTTTCAGATAGTTAATTTTAGCCACCCATGAGAGTAATTGTCTTTCATGTTCATCTGTTCTGTTGTATAGCCAACCAACTACCTCATCCCCATATTGTTATTTACATTGTTATTTATTTTGCTAATTTGCACCCCAGTATCTCTATTTGCACATCATCTTCTGCACATCTATCACTCCAGTGTTAATCCTAAATTGTAATTATTTTGCACTATGGCCTATTTATTGCCTTACCTCCATAACTTACTACATTTACACACACTGTATATAGTTTTTCTATTGTGTTTTGTGTTTTGTTTATTCCATATGTAACTCTGTGTTGTTGTTTTTATCGCACTGCTTTGCTTTATCTTGGCCAGGTCGCAGTTGTAAATGATAACTTGTTCTCAACTGGCTTACCTGGTTAAATAAAGGTTAAATAAAAAAATAAAAAATAAAATGTTAAGGTTCAACATCAACCTTTTTGTAGCTTCAATGAGGCTTACAGAATTGTATGAGTTCCCTAAAAGCCTGCAAAACCCATTGTTGGGTTAGATACCACCTTGCTATAATATGTAATAAATTATCTTAATATTCTAGAAGGATGTGTAAAATGCAACAAAAATGTTTTACATAATGAACTGAAATGACATTTACTCTCACTGGTGGCCAATAAGATCTATCTGAAAGCCACACCCCCTAATAAGCCATGTCTCCTGTAAATAACCTAAGGATGTACATTTAAAAAGACCCAGCTGATGGTTAAATTAACCCAGGTTTGGGTAATCCCAACAACCCAACATATTGGGTTATTCACTCAACCCAACTGGCTGGTTCAAAATAACTCAGCATGTGTTCTGTCCAATATCCAGTGCTGGGTTACCAAATAACCCAAATCAGGTTGTTTTTAGCCCAGCATTTTTTAGAGTGCACTGTATTTAAAAAGACCATTTGCACACAGTCAAGGAGAGGGGCTGCAGCAATTGGCACCAGCTGGAAACCAAACGTGCGCCATTTGGCTGGCCAGTTAAATGCCATTGGACGGTGAGTCAACTCATTTGCATAAATCAAGGCTTATAGATCAACGCTCTCTTTGGACTGTATCCAATCCAGTTGGTCGTGGCAAGGGAGCTCAACATCACAACAAGTTTACTTCCAGCTCGTTTTCTTTATAAAGTTTTCTGTCATCATCATTGCCCATTAAAATGGGATTCTGCAGGATTCGAGGAGTTGGTGAGTGCGTGGTGCTTGCTGTTCTGTTTTACTCGGTTCAGTCTACGACCACGAGGTACTACACGTATGAAGAGGATGCGCCCGGGACAGAGATTGGAAATCTGTCTCAGGATTTAAAGATAGACCCAGCTGAGGACACTCAAACATCTTTCCGATTCATGCAGGAGACCACTTCGTGTGTGATTCAAATGAGGGAGACTGATGGACTTTTAACTGTTGGGGAAACGATTGACCGGGAGCAGCTGTGCCCGAGGTCCCCGCGGTGTTTTGTCACCTTCGACATAGTTGCCTTCTCCAAAGAAAAGTTTCAGCTGATTCACGTAGAGATCGAGGTAAGGGACATTAACGACAATTCACCTCAGTTTCTCCACAACGAGACGACCCTTGAGATATCCGAGAATGTTCAGGTGGACTCCCGATTCCCGTTGGACATCGCTGTTGACCATGATGTCGGCAATAACTACATCCAAAGTTACCATATCTCTCCCTCCAGCCATTTCATAGTGGATGTGCGCAGCAGGGAGGATGGAGTGAAGTATGCTGAACTTGTGCTTGTGAAAGCAATGGACAGAGAGGCTGAAGATTCCTATACAATTGAAGTGACGGCAACAGATGGTGGAGAGCCCCCCAGGTCCGGATCAATGACTGTTCATATCAAAGTGCTGGATTTTAATGACAACAGCCCAACGTTTGAGCACAACTCACTTAAAGTTGAACTTTCCGAGGATTCTCCTGTAGGTTACCAAGTGCTTAAAGTGCATGCGTTTGACCCAGATGCTGGCATCAATGGCGAGGTAGTGTATGGATTTGTAGAAGACACATCATCTGAAGCAATGCGTATTTTTAATATAGACCGAATTTCCGGTGCTGTAACTTTAAAAACATTGGTTGATTACGAGAAGAAGAGATCCTATGAACTAAACATTAAAGCATCCGATTTAGGCACTAATTCTATTCCATCGACTTGCAAAGTGGTTGTTGATGTGGTAGATGTAAATGATAATGCACCAGAAATCACCATCAAGCCAAAAACCTCGACGAGTGACGATGTAGCTTACATCACGGAGGCCGCAGCGGAGGAAAGCTTTGTGGCGCTGATCAGCACCTCGGACAGCGACTCTGGCTCGAACGGTTATGTGCGCAGCAGCCTACACGGTCACGACCATTTCAAGTTGCAACAGGCCTACGGGGACACTTTCATGATTGTAACAACCACCACTTTAGATAGAGAAAAGATCCCGGAGTATAACCTCACTGTAATGGCTGAAGACCTTGGAACTCCTCCTTTCAAAACCTTCAAGCAGTATACCATCAGAGTGACCGACGAGAACGACAACACCCCTCTCTTCAGCAAATCCATTTATGAAGTTTCAGTCCTGGAAAATAATTTCCCCGGGTCCTATATTACTACTGTTGTAGCACGTGACCTTGATCTCGGTAAAAACGCCAAAGTGTCCTATAAGCTCATAGACTCAGAGGTTGTCGGGGATGCTTCCATTTCGACTTATGTGTCTTTAGACCCAGTGTCAGGGTCATTGTATAGCCTAAGATCTTTCGATTTTGAAACGCTCCAGCAGATTGAGTTAACCATCCAGGCTGAGGACAAGGGCTCACCTCAGCTGTCAAGCACATCCGTGATCAGAATCAAAGTGGTGGATCAAAACGACAACTATCCCTATTTTACCTTCCCCGTTATGCTGAATGACTCTGTTGAAATTCCCCTTCCTGTCAATGCACCAGTGGGGTACCTGGCCCTACGGGTCAAAGGTCAGGATGAGGATGAGGGTATGAATGGTGAGCTCAGCTACAGAATCGTACAAGGTGACTCTAAGATATTTTCAATCAATAAAGACACTGGAGAAATAGCTGTAAAACAGGGTCTGGCCTCTGCTATTGGAGACGTGTTGGAAATCAAGATTGCATTGAGTGACAATGGGAGATCCCCTCTCTCCAGCTTTGCCACCATTCGCTTTGTTGTCACAGACTTACAGCTCTCAGACGACCAACTTGTCATTGCATTACAGTCGAGTGATGAGGAAAGCACAGGCTTGGACGTTTCAGTAGTAGTAATCATTATACTAGGCGGGGGTTGTACTCTGCTGCTGATTGCCATAGCGATTGTTGTTATCACATGCAAGCTGAACCGAGGAGGGAAGGATCATGACTCCAAGAGAGACGTGACTCACAGCCTGTTTGGCTCCAGGCGTCATCCCAGGCTCAACTCTGCAGAACCCAACATATATGGTGGTCCAAGAGGTTTCCTCAATGAAAGGACCCCTTCATCTCTTGATGAGTCCAGCCTGTATGAAGAGAAAAGTGGCGGGTTGGAGTCCCAGGTGGGTGAATTATTTGATTCGGTTTCAATATGTGTTTATATACAACTGTACACATTAAAGTGTTGTACTGTTCCTGATCCATGTAGCTGAAATTAATTCCCATCCTGTTCTCTTGTGTTTGCCCTTTAGATGTTCCTGCCTCCCAAGCCTTTCCAACCATCATCTGTGTGGCAAGGGGACAAATACTGCCCGCAAATGAGGTAAGAATACCACATCATTGATCATATTTGGCATGACGTGCTCTTTTATCGCAATTATTGTTTTTCCCCCAATAATTATTTACATAACCAGTCACTGGAAGGTACTTAACATTACCTATGCATACTTCATGCTCATGTTCATAAGAGAGGGGGGGTGGGGTGGGGGGGTAGCATGCTCATAAGAGAGAGGGGGTGGGGTGGGGGGGGTAGCATGCTCATAAGAGAGAGGGGGGGGGGTGGGGCGGGGGGGTAGCATGCTCATAAGAGAGAGGGGGTGGGGTGGGGGGGTAGCATGCTCATAAGAGAGAGGGGGTGGGGTGGGGGGGTAGCATGCTCATAAGAGAGAGGGGGTGGGGTGGGGGGGTAGCATGCTCATAAGAGAGAGGGGGTGGGGTGGGGTGGGGGGGTAGCATGCTCATAAGAGAGAGGGGGTGGGGTGGGGGGGGTAGCATGCTCATAAGAGAGAGGGGGTGGGGTGAAGGGGTAGCATGCTCATAAGAGAGAGGGGGTGGGGTGGGGGGGTAGCATGCTCATAAGAGAGAGGGGGGTGGGGTGGGGTGGGGGGGGTAGCATGCTCATAAGAGAGAGGGCAGAATCAAAGCAACCATCAGTAGTCAGACACAGTAGTGCAGTGGCTAATATGTTTGATTCTATTAGCCGTGGCTAATATGTTTGATTCTATTAGCCGTGGCTAATATGTTTGATTCTATTAGCAGTGGCTAATATGTTTGATTCTATTAGCCGTGGCTAATATGTTTGATTCTATTAGCAGTGGCTAATATGTTTGATTCTATTAGCCGTGGCTAATATGTTTGATTCTATTAGCAGTGGCTAATATGTTTGATTCTGTTAGCAGTGGCTAATATGTTTGATTCTATTAGCAGTGGCTAATATGTTTGATTCTATTAGCAGTGGCTATTATGTTTGATTCTGTTAGCAGTGAGTGGCTAATATGTTTGATTCTATTAGCAGTGGGTAATATGTTTGATTCTATTAGCAGTGGCTAATATGTTTGATTCTATTAGCAGTGGCTAATATGTTTGATTCTGTTAGCAGTGGCTAATATGTTTGATTCTGTTAGCAGTGAGTGGCTAATATGTTTGATTCTATTAGCCGTGGCTAATATGTTTGATTCTGTTAGCAGTGAGTGGCTAATATGTTTGATTCTATTAGCAGTGGCTAATATGTTTGATTCTATTAGCAGTGGCTAATATGTTTGATTCTGTTAGCAGTGAGTGGCTAATATGTTTGATTCTATTAGCCGTGGCTAATATGTTTGATTCTGTTAGCAGTGAGTGGCTAATATGTTTGATTCTATTAGCAGTGGCTAATATGTTTGATTCTATTAGCAGTGGCTAATATGTTTGATTCTATTAGCAGTGGCTAATATGTTTGATTCTATTAGCCGTGGCTAATATGTTTGATTCTATTAGCAGTGGCTAATATGTTTGATTCTATTAGCCGTGGCTAATATGTTTGATTCTATTAGCAGTGGATAATATGTTTGATTCTATTAGCCGTGGCTAATATGTTTGATTCTATTAGCAGTGGCTAATATGTTTGATTCTATTAGCCGTGGCTAATATGTTTGATTCTATTAGCAGTGGCTAATATGTTTGATTCTATTAGCCGTGGCTAATATGTTTGATTCTATTAGCAGTGGCTAATATGTTTGATTCTATTAGCAGTGGCTAATATGTTTGATTCTATTAGCAGTGGCTAATATGTTTGATTCTGTTAGCAGTGAGTGGCTAATATGTTTGATTCTATTAGCAGTGGCTAATATGTTTGATTCTATTAGCAGTGGCTAATATGTTTGATTCTATTAGCAGTGGCTAATATGTTTGATTCTATTAGCCGTGGCTAATATGTTTGATTCTGTTAGCAGTGAGTGGCTAATATGTTTGATTCTATTAGCAGTGGCTAATATGTTTGATTCTGTTAGCAGTGGCTAATATGTTTGATTCTATTAGCAGTGGCATTGACCAGCAGAGCGTGAAGGACAGTGGAAAAGGAGACAGTGACTTCAATGACAGTGACTCTGACATCAGTGGGGATGGAGGCAAGAGGAACCTCCGCACCTTCCAGCCCTGGGCCAAAAGTGAGTTTACTACGTCACAATTTAATACTGCAATTTTACAGTTCCTTGTAACAGAATGATGAAGATAACAGTTGGCATTTTTATAGCACTATATAGCACTGAAACTGCAGCGGATCACACTGTGTCGGGATAACTCGCCCCTTCCACCAACACAGTGTAGAACCCACCTGGCTATGTAACCCAGCAACCACGAATGACTCTCAGGCACTTTGATTCTTTACTCCTTGGGCTTGGAAAGTAAATCTGTATGCGTGTGTGTGTTCTATTTCAGGCTCATTCCACGCCGCTAACACCCTCGCTGTTGATTGCCAAGGCACTTACTGTGTAATACCAACCCAAAGCTTCCAGGCTCCCAGAGACAATGCATACACAATAGGTTTTACCCAAGCGCCGGTCTACAACAATCCACATGCCTATCGCCACTCCTGGAAAGACTCCAGCTACAACACAAGTGTTCCCAAAGCAAGAAACACCATGCAGACATTCTGTCATCCCACAAGCACCCTCCTGTCTTACTTCACAAAGACACAATCTCCTGCTGGACTTGATGAAATTCAGGAGCACAACCAAGATATTACTACAGTGGCAACCATATCTGAAGTTGCTACCATTTTTTAAAACAACCTGCCAAGTAAATATATATATATATATATACAATTGGATATTTCTAGATACTGTAGTATTCAGTAGATTCTGCAGATACTGGTCAAAGTAGAGAATGTAATGTGGACATTTCATGGATGAAAAGGAATTTAATGCATAATGAAAACACTTGATGTATATTTTTTTATTTGATTAAATTATGAAGATGTATGTATATATTAATATTAATAATTGTATGAACATGTTTATGAAAAATGTGTGTTTTTGTTTTGTGAATAAACACAATATTGAAACAATGTGAGATATGTGCATAATGGTTTCCATGAGTGAAGATAATTGCACTGTGCCTGTGGTTTTGTTTAGAATGACCGTTCTCTTATGGTCACACACGAAGAACTTCACTCACTTGTCTGGACTTTCTCATTAACCCATGTATAATGTTTAATATATAATATGTAAATTATAAGCTATATAAACAAGCAATTCTTATTATAAAATTGTTTATCATAATGGCTTACCGTAGAAACTGAATCGATATGCATCTAAGAAAAGTCCATTATGATGGCAAACGTATTGTTCTAGTTTAGACGAAATCATCTGCAAGGATGAGGGTATGAATAGTCATGTTTATAGTAGTCACACGTTAGTTAATTCTTACATTAGTGCTACTATGAAACGGCACCATGATGCTTGGCACACTCAATTCCCAGTGATATTCAAGCGATCATCCTTTCATGCCATTGAAAAGCAGCAGTGATCTTTAATTAAAGAGACGTCTGAGGTACACAGCTTTATTTCAATGACGCTAGACACACAGCTCTTGACTTGTATCATCAGCACATTACTGTTCAGCAGCTCTGTGTTTCAATAATGATGTACCTTTCAGAATGAGTAGTCCTATCAAAATTACTTTGACACAAGAAAATTGAGTTCATACTGTCAATAGAAACTCAAAAGATTTATTAACGGAAGAAAAAACGTACATAATTCCATGGTAGAAACATCCGTTTGGGAAGTGGAACGCTTTTCTTGACTAACTTAAAACATGCTTAGGAAGTGTACTTCAGAGCGGATATTTCAGTTTTGAGGAGTTACACAGCGGAATATGTCCCAGGTGACCTGGTTTGACTTTCAGTCGCCAGGATAGAACCTGCTCGCGGAATCATCCGGAGCAAACCTCTAGTTTTTGGTACATTAGTATATTAAAGAGAAATGTTCTTCTGTCAAGACAGTTTCCCTTCGTGTTGTTCTATTGCGTCAGCTCTTGCTTGTGATGTTGTTGTTATTGTTGTTGATTATGATGATTATAAGTTGTATCTTCTGGGCTCCCGAGTGGCGCAGCGGTCTAAGGCACTGCATCTCGGTGCTTGTGGCGTCACTACAGACCCCCCTGGTTCGATTCCAGGCTGTATCACAACCGGCCGTGATTGGGAGTCCCATAGGGCGGTGCACAATTGGCCCAGCGTCGTCTGGGTTTGGCCGGTGTAGGCCGTCATTGTAAATAAGAATTTGTTCTTAACTGACTTGCCTAGTTAAATAAAAGTACAATTTAATACAAAATATGGGTTGCCAGTCTTGTTAAGGTTCTGTGTGCTGGTTTCACAGAATCCTCTATCTGTTTAGGGCCGGCATCAAAGGAGCCTGCAAATTTTCACGAGCAAATAAGACACCAGGATTTTAAAAAGCTTACATAATCTAAACCATCTGAAGTTGATGCCCTGAAGGGAGAGAGGAAAGGTTTGTCAGGAGACCTACGGGACAGCGCTCGGACCATCCGCTGGACGGATCAATATTCATTAGCAAATCATCACTGTAGTTTTTTTTTATTTTCTTCCATTGAAAAAAGCTAGCACTGTTATTAATCACTATGAATTATATAAGATATATGGTTTGGAATTTAAATCAATATGAGCATTCATATTGATTAGTTGCATATTTTCTAGGAAGCTCTCACAAGTTACCGGAATGCACCGCCTTCAGAATAGAGGGGAGTATATTAATTCCATATCCACAGATTGTATGGTCAGGGAAGCCACCAATAATCATGTCCTTGTCTTTGGAGATTGAATTTCTGATGGCAAAATGGACACTCATAAATACCTTACTGTGAATAGCCTATATGTCATGGCATTAGATACACATAGGACAAAATAAAGTCATACCTTGTATCTGGATGGCGTAGTTACTAGCTTGTGACTGGTTGTGACAGATCTCCAATTCCACAGGGGGAAATGCATGTCTCAATCATTAGAATATGAAATGGCTTCATCGTTGCTTTATATTTTAGGTAAAAAAGCTGGCCCGTGGACTCAATAACTTGTGTCACAAGGCTTGATCATCGACAGTGTTTGAATGAGAAGGAAGGTCCATTATCAGAACAGATTTCTGGATCATTTTTGTCTTGTGAATGTTAATAACATCTGTACTATCAGAAACAGTAGTCTACTGCTCAGTTCTCACACACCTCACTCAGTAACAATAACTTCCCACCCGATGGAAAATGAGGTGTTACATAAAGCCTGCGCCGTGTTCACAACCTCACCATCGACAGACGAGCAGGAGTCACACAGGACATGATGGCCTTCAACTTCCCGATGATGACAGGTTTATTTGCTGGCAGATTGCTGGTCTTCTTTGTCATTCCTTTTGTAGTGTTGCAGTGGCCTTCTTTTCATCGCTATGTAGGCCAAGGCCATCACTACACTGAGTCCTATCAGGAAGACACAACTCCCAGTGGCGAAAGTGCATAAAAGATGGCAGAACTCTGATATAATGTCAATGTTTTAGCACCATCCAGAGTTTTTAAACTACGGCGGGCAATATTGTTCAATCTGCCAATAAATCAGCACAATCTACTTTTTCGTTTTTTTTCAAATTTGCCGACATCATGAAGCTAACATTGGGATCGTGTATACTCTGCTAATGACCATAAGAAAAAAAGAGTAATGGAGAGCGATGTACAATACAGAGAACTTAGCAAAACGAGGAATTTGTGTGAAGTGCGTGGGGGCCGCCATCTTTATACACCTCTGCTATCGTGTAAGATATGGCAAAAAAAAAAATTAATTACATGTTGTTGACTCATGTGTATTGTCTGGCCTGTCAATGGAGGTTTGTGGGCATTAATTACATTAACATTTAGTTTTGTCATTAGTGGTGAGACGCCCTTATCTTTCACACCCACTTCCACCTGTAATATTTTGTTAAATGGTCTTTCCCCAGTCCCCATTGTTAATTTACTGAGTGGGTAGATGGTCTGTCCCCAGTCTGTTCATTTGTTGATTGGTTAGGTGGTGTGTTTCTGAGATACAGGTTCCTGGTTTGTGGTTAAATGGTGTGTTTCTGAGATACAGGTTCCTGGTTTGTGGTTAAATGGTGTGTTTCTGAGATACAGGTTCCTGGTTGTGGTTTAATGGTGTGTTTCTGAGATACAGGTTCCTGGTTTTGATGGTTAAAGGGTGTGTTTCTTTGCTGATATACAGGTTTCCTGGTTTGGTGGTTAAATGGTGTGTTTCTGAGATACAGGTTCCTGGTTTGTGGTCAAATGTGTGTTTTCTGAAGATACAGGTTCCATGGTTTGGTGGTCAAATGGTGTGTTTTCTTGAGATACATGTTCCTGGGTTTGTGGTTTAAATGGTGGTGTTTTCTGAGATCCAAGGTTCCTGGTTTTGTGGTTTAAATGGTGTGGTGTTTCTGAGATACAGGTTCCCTGGTTTGTGGTTAATGGTGTGTTTCTTTTGAGATACAGGTTCCTGGTTTTGTGGTTAAATGGTGTGTTTCTGAGGATACAGGTTCCTGCTGTTTGGTGGTTAAATGGTGTGTTTTCCGGGTTCCTGGGTTGTGGGTATGTTTCTGAGATACAGGGTTCCTGGTTTGTGGGTTAAATGGTGATGTTTCTGAGATACAGGTTCCTGGTTTGTGGTTAAATGGTGTGTTTCTGAGATACAGGTTCCTGGTTTGTGGTTAAATGGTGTGTTTCTGAGATACAGGTTCCTGGTTTGTGGTTAAATGGTGTGTTTCTGAGATACAGGTTCCTGGTTTGTGGTTAAATGGTGTGTTTCTGAGATACAGGTTCCTGGTTTGTGGTTAAATGGTGTGTTTCTGAGATACAGGTTCCTGGTTTGTGGTCAAATGGTGTGTTTCTGAGATACAGGTTCCTGGTTTGTGGTCAAATGGTGTGTTTCTGAGATACAGGTTCCTGGTTTGTGGTTAAATGGTGTGTTTCTGAGATACAGGTTCCGTTGTGGTTAAATGGTGTGTTTTGAGATACAGGTTCCTGGTTTGTGGTTAAATGGTGTTTCTGAGATACAGGTTCCTGGTTTGTGGTTAAAGGGTGTGTTTCTGAGATACAGGTTCCTGGTTTGTGGTTAAATGGTGTGTTTCTGAGATACAGGTTCCTGGTTTGTGGTTAAATGGTGTGTTTCTGAGATACAGGTTCCTGGTTTGTGGTTAAATGGTATGTTTCTGAGATACAGGTTCCTGGTTTGTGGTTAAATGGTGTGTTTCTGAGATACAGGTTCCTGGTTTGTGGTTAAATGGTGTGTTTCTGAGATACAGGTTCCCAGTCTGTTCATCTACTGAGTGGTTAGATGGTGTGTTTTGGAGATACAAGTCCCCAGTATGTTAATTTTCTGTGAATAATTTGTTTGCATCGTCCAAGATAAAGAATGTTAATTCTGCAATCAATCCCTCATCAGCGTCTTGAGCTTTGAGCCACTGCATCGGCGTATCAGTTGACACATCAGGTGCCAAGAATGTGAACGCAGCTGCATTTACTAAACAAGGGGATGTTATCACTGGTTTGCTGTCATTTTGGTCCATAAATCTTATCCAAACTAAGGTTGTTTTGAATTGCACTGGGTGTCCACCATCACTGGCCTGTACAGGTGTAGGATCTTAATTTGATCACCCTGTTGCAGCAGAACTTTCCTGCAATGCAGAAAATGTAAAATGTGTATTGTATTTTAGGTTTACAAAGGCTTCTGAAATTTGTGTTTTCCACTTTGAAATGTAACACTGACAATAC